TCCCACAGCTTGCAAGAATTCCAACATTCAATTTTTAATTTTTTTTTTTTAAAGAAAAATATGTGTGGTTTTTTTTTTTTTTTTTTTAACTCAGTCCTAAGTGCTTTGCCTGCTTCTGCAGTTCAGACAACAAAACCTATCCACCTGGTTGGCACACAACATGCCATGCCTGAGGATATCCTCTCCCGACATACCATCTTGGATTCTCTATCCACATTCCCTGGTGCTTTGCACTACAGTAAACTGAGCTGCTCTGTGACACTTGTCCAGCAACTCATGCCCAGGCCCCGACCTTCTGCACTAGATCCTTGGCTTCCAGCTGAAGAGATACACCCTGCATAATTGGTAGGGTTTCCAGACAACACCTAATCACAGGTTTGGCATTCAGAAAGTCCTGAATCAGGCTTCAGTAGCCTTCTGACCAAAGGCTAGCAAGGGGAGAGGCCCCTTGCCAAGGAAAGAGGAAAACTGCAGTCAACACCTTTATTAAGACTCAGACCTTAAGAGTGGGAAAGTTAGAAGTCCCTGTAAAGAGGGTGAGAGTTAACAAGAGAGCACAGTACCTTTCAACCATCTGTTTTGTTTTGTACTTTAAGGTGCAGTAAAACGTATTTATACCCAATTCCTAAGTTTACAAGGAAAGCAAGCTGCCTTAAAGGTTTTAAAACTCGTCTCAGATGAGCAGCAGTTCTCCCAGCCTGGGTTTTGGGGATTACATATCATGCCATTAATAATACTTTCATTCATTTTCCATCTACAAACTCTACCTCCAGTTGACAGAGATAGTTTGTTTTCATCTCCTTTGAAATAAAGAAAGATAAAGGCCTGAAGTAGCTACTGCCTGAAATATACCCAATTACAGAGACGTTGTGCACAGATCGTTAGATTAAGAATCACTGTAGAGAAATTTAGATATCGCGTCCAGTGAAGTAGCAAGAAAAACAGAGTACCTTGTAATGGATCTTGAAGAAAATACCAAGTACTTAGATTTTGTATTTATTTATTTTTAAGGAAAAAAATAAAGAGCTTTAGACTAACTTAGCAGTGGGGGCAGAAAATATATAAGTTATATAGGGAGTTTTATATTCTTTCCATTTGCTTCCCATGTGCTGTGCAAGTAACTGCTTCATCAACATGCATTCACCACAGTTTATCTAAGGGAAGCCTGGCCTTGGGAGCAGCTCCTTCATTTGCGGTTCTTTAACACAGCAGTAAGGCCTCAGGGACAACTCATAAGCGCAAAGTCGATCCCCTGATAATCCTCATGCAAAATAGAGCAGTCCTCAGGGGATGCTGGCAGACAAAACGAAGTGTGGAAAAAAGCCTAAACCTGCTCTGTTTTATGCCTGCATCCAACCCAGTAACTCCTAGACTGCAGCCAGGTACAGGTTTAAAGCCAGCTTTAGTCCTCCCTCCTTTCCAAGTATGACAAAATGCAAGTGAGGCACATCTCCACCTCCAGCCAACTGGAGAGTTAAGAGAAACAGAGATACAGAGATTTAGCTGAAGCTTACATTATGGATTAACACATCCTTGACCAACTGGAGAAGGTACCACTGAATTATCAAGGATAAGTGCAGAAGGGAGAGCAGGCATCTAGATGACATGGTTATCAGCTGTTGAGCAACCTGATATTTAAGGGCTGGGCTCTTCCAGTGACTCCTCATAAATTTTTTTAATATTACCTTGGGAAATTAAAGACAGTCTCTAGTTGTTTTGTTTCACTTTTGTGGGAGGTTACCAAATTGTGTATTGGGATCACTAGGATTCACCTAAGAAACAACCAAAGTAAACAGTCTTTGAACCAGTATATAGCCTATTTTTTTTGATAGCTATTTTACCTAAACCCCAATTGCATGAGCACCGTTACTATTCCACTGGAGATGGGGGGTATCCAAAGTAGCAAAGGGCTGGAATAGATTAGGGCCAACATTAAATGCTTGGAACCAATGCTTTGATGGTCAGAAGCAGTCAGAACACCAGAGAGAAACCCGGGAAAAACCCCTTTTGCTTTTCTCAGTTTTGAACTGCCTGAAGCCATTAGGTCTGAAAAGCACTAAGAGAAAACCAAAACAAAAAGCACCTTCCTTTCACAGTTTCTCTAATGTAACCTAAGCCTGAAAAACTCAGATTTTCACAAGAAAGGCGGCTCTACAACACACTCAGCAGTGCAAACAGTTCAGCGGAGCGCAGCAAGACAGGACACCCCGAGGGCCACCCTGAGAGGCGCCCGAACGTGAGCTGGCGCATGCAGGGAGACAGGACCAGCCACCGCACCTGCAGGCTGGGCTCAGACCCAGGGTAAACATGTGCCTTTCACAACAAAAACAAATGAAAGGCTTTGGGTTGCCCCAAATGAACATAAATATTTTTCTCTAGAAATTCTCCTGTTTTGTTTTTTCTTGGTTTTTTGTTTTGTTTTGTTTTTTTTTAAAGTAACAAAGAGCAGGCAAGAAGTGAAGGGGCTCGCTGAAAGCACCTTAAAGCTTTATTTGCTTTAATACTAAAGCAAGAGGCTCTAGCATCTACCCAAGTCCCATGAATATATGCATTCCTTATTGGCAGCATTAGAATGCCACTAAAGAACAGATTCACTCATTGACCTACAAATTATACTGTCTTTGCTCACCATGTCTGTTCATTTCCCAGAATATTTTTAAGGAGCCTTGTTTAATTTTATTTTTTTTCTCCCTTCTCTCATTCATGACATTTCCGTATGCTCATGATTATTTATTTGGCATGGCATTTTGATGTAAGGGAACAGCCAAGCCCTGCATGCATACATAGCACAGAATTTCCACTTTAAGGGAGCTGGGTTCTGTAACTTATAGATGGCACAAAAAAAATAACTTAAGGAGTGAATAACCTTAAACCTAGAAAAGTTGAGAGGTCTTATCTGTGTATGGCTTTTGGCAAGACAAATCAGTCATATCATCAACTTCAGCTTTAGAAAACTTTTGCCTTTGGCCCTGATCCCAACATTACATCTTGAACCTCTTTCTGCTATTGAACCTGAAAAAACGTCCTAGCCATATGCAGCTGGCCTGCTCGGGGGGACTGCAATGCCACCAGCAGCGGCATCCCAAGCCTGCCCAAGGTGAGATAGGAAACACATAAAAGTGGCTTGTCTCAGGCTTTTTGTATGAGAGCCTAGAGATAAACGTAGCTCAGTAATTTCCTCCCAGAGCCCCAGAACTTCTCCCAGACCCCACTGGACTTCTTTCACTGTTAAGCCCAAAGCCATTTACAAATAGCAGAAGGTTTTAGTCTCCTCACTGGGTTGCAGAGCTTACCTTGTGGTTACAAGCACATCTACTTATCCAGCCGAGCAGTAAACGGAGGCACGCTTCCCTTCATCGCACAAAGGATGATGACAGTAACCTGAACCATGCCTGCCTGCCCACAGCTATATAAACCCTAGCAGCTACAGACACCTGGAAAACGTACTGCTGACTGCTTCCCTCCCTGTTAATGAAGCACTTGAGCTACAGCCATTGTTTATTCAAGAACCTAATAAGAGATGACTGTGGCTATTTTCCACTTAACATCATTAGTTAAACAGAAATTGATTGCAGATGGAGAACAGCCATTGTGTTTTATTACCAGTGATTTGTTTCCTGGCATTTAGGGACAGGTCTAGGTTGGCAGATCTGTTCCCTTAAGCTGCAGACACTACAAGGTGTGGCCACACTCTGTGTTTACAAGCCATTATCACAGCTCATTTTTTGGCTTTTTTCAACTCCAGGCATGTCAATAAGTCTTAAAGGCTCTGTGTGAGGGAACATAAGTAGAGCTTGATTTGTTTGTTATCAGTCAAAGATTGCTGACATGTTTTAACTCTCTCTTAATAGAAAAGCTATCCACTCCAGGCAATACTTACTTGCTTTCCACAGAAGGTCTCAGCAGCTTTAAATAGAGATGAGCAAAAAGAAATCTAAATGGCTTTTAAATGTTTTAAGTCTTTCAAGCGAAACACGAAAGACAGTGCCAACCCACACAGTTTAATTTGGCTGGGTCTTGCCGCTCCCCGTATGCTGTACCAGACCAGATTCGTGGAACTACACCTGCAATATCTGGGATGCAAGCTTGAACTTCGTCAGGCCCATCTTTCTGCATTAACGCTGAAATGCATGCAAAATCCCACTCAAAAATTTCAGCTGGTGCCTATTAAAAATGAGACCAAGCTAATTAAAACAAGCAATGGGTGTTCTATCAAGCAGATATCTTCAGAAATCTTTTCTGGCCCCCAGAATGTGGCAGGAAACAATGCAAAATACCACAGCTGAAGATCTTCTCTGGAGCTTGTGTCAGATTTTTTGGCATCAGATCTCCCTGCTCCCTGACTTTTCCCCTTTGCTACTCAAAGGACAGGTGCCCCAGGTTCCCATTCTGCCAGGTACAGCATACCCTCCGTTTACATGGACTTCAGCAAATGACAGCGCTGGTAGGGTCTTGTAGGACCTGATTCTCAGCAATAGCTATACAGTATCTATAGAGCTATTGTAAGTAGTTACTACCACATCTCTTTCACAGTGTGCTTTCACCATCTGACAGAGCTTCCCTACCCAGCCTGACAGCTGGAGTACATAGGAACCATATTTGAAAAAAAACTACCTGTCCATCTAATCCATGTAAAAACAGCTGCTTTGCTAAGATGCAAATAACTTAGCAGGTTCCCCAAAGGAGAAGTTTCTCCCCTACCTCCACCAGTTATATAGAATATCACCAAATGATAGAATATGCTGAGTTGGAATGGACTCCTCAGATCTGAAAATTTATAGCCCTTCAAGTGGCTTCTAACCCATGCTCACTATAAAGCCATCAAATATGTGCTGGTACTCAGATTACCACTGGGACAGATAAACTCGAACAAAGAGATTGATCATTGTCCTTCCAGGCTCCCCATGGTCCATGTGACCAATTGCTGCCCGGAACCTTGCCATCCTCACTCCCCATGACCATACTTTCATAACGCCCAAAGACAGTAAAAGTGTAATTACTTATTTCATTACCTTTCCCCTCACAACAGAAAGTTTCAGGGAAAATGTTTCAGGGAAAATGTTACTGAGATCAGTTGCAAAAGGCATTTCATAGTGCCATATATAGCAGCTGATGTAGTTGACACAGAACATAGACAGTAATATTTTAAACAAAAAGCTTAATATTCTGCTGATCCTCCCTAAAGTTATGTTACATTTCAGTCTAACATCTGACCGATGACCCAAACTCGGATCAAATTTTCAGTGGGTGCAAATTATGCAGGGCATGTTTTCTAGCAAATCTAGTTGGCTAAATGTCCCCAAGTTTTCTTGCACACAGCTATCTTCTATCCAGAACAATGGTGAACATCAAGTGCGACAATGGGAATTTTTTTTTCTCATGTGACCAATTTTGTATTATTTCTCAATAATAAGTGCCATAAATAAATTCTTAATTCTCAAGGCTAAAAAGTCTATCTGATGTCGCAATCTACACCGTTTGGTATCATTCATGGATCTGTTAGCACTGCCTCCTGGGTGAGCTCGTACAGCGGTATGGCAGTTGTTAGCATGTTCAATAGCACTACAATCAACTTGTAAATTCAGATTTCATGAGAGACAGTTTTTGGTCTCAAGCAGCAGGACTGCTGGCAGCGCGGTGTATGTTGCGTGCAATCGCATGTGATGTTTTGTGCAATATCATCTGCAACATTTTATTTTAGATCATGCCCCCTGTCCTCACAAAATGTGACTGGACTCTTAAGAGTGAGAATGGGTTTTACAGTGGATGATTGTGAGCTGTAACTTCATGAGGCCTCAAAGTAAAACTCCATCTGTAGAGAAAGAATAAAGAATCAGCTGCAAATACAGTAAGATTAATGCATTATTCATCTGCTGGCATGGCACACCCTGGGAAAGAGGCTAATTAAAAGGGATTTGTGGAAAGTCACGTAGGATTACCTCTGCTAAAAGCAGTAGTATGACGTTTAGGTTATCAGTGATTTTTAAAAGTTCTAATTAAGATTCTAAAAAACAGAAGTTGTACCAAAAAATTGAGTCCTTCAGCTTCATCTGCACTGGAAATATGCTCTTCACATTAGTTCTGAAAGCATTTATAGCCTTAAGAAACTTGGAAAAGCCAAGACTAGTGTTCTATTATCTCAGTACTCTAAATCCTCTTCCTATAAACTGTCATGATAATGACTTCCATTTACATCAGTGACATGGGCTGATGAGGGAAGGTAGTAAAGTTCTGCTGATTTTATCAGCTGAAGCATGTGATGCGCAGGACTTGTTTCCCAGCAAATTAAACTAGCAACCAAATTAAGGACCTGAAATGCCAGCTCTGCTCTTCTGACAGCAGCAGGTATTAATTTTGCCCAAAACACATGGTGTCAAGTTTTTCAAAAGAAAACTAGAAAAAATTAATTGGAGGACACTTCCTTTTTCATCTCTTGGCCCTTTTAGGACACTGCTGCACTTCAGAAACAGGGGGGTTCATACACCTGGTTTTACCTTTTACCAAGAAAAGCTGGCTCTTCCCTTGCATGCAGGGAAGAAATGAGTTCACTTACAAAACACCTCTAGCATGATCAAAATTGCATCTAACAACACAGAGAGACAGATGTGTTTTCAGAAGTAGGGCGTCCTTTGGAGCACCATTTGTAAGAGATACAGACTGTGTCGCTGAGTGGGGACCCTCCTGTGGAAACAGCTCAGGTGGTCCCTCGGCCAGTCTCGGTCACTCACAAGTGACAGCGTCCACGCAGGAAAGCTGCGTTCCCACACTTTGGACGATCACTGGACCTCTTGCCTCAGATTCAGAGCAAAAGAAGCTGCGTCGTCAAGGCCATCTCTGCCAACCTTCTGGCCTAGGAGCAGTGAAGAGATGGTACAGAAGAATAAATTCAACAGCTAATCCTTACAGAAAACACACACTGTCATGATAGAGCCTCCTGCTTGGAAATTAAGTGCCTTACATCCCTGAGCCCAAAAGGGTAGAGAGCCTCCCTTACAGAAGCAGCGAGAAATAAGACAAAGAACCCTTTTCTTTTGCTTGGTAACAGCCAAGAGAGATACTTCATGGTTTTGTAATGCCTTGAGAGGGTAAAAGTAGCTTCGTGCACAGATGTGGTTTGGTGGGATGAATGATGATGTGCATTTATATTTTGGATTACTGAAAGATGATGACTAGAGATGGTCATCAGCCATGAAGTTCAGATTCAGGTCTGAAACAGCTCCAAGCCTTTCAGAGTACAGGGTGACAGATTTGGGTTTTGCTGTGGGTCATTGGAGAGAAAGTGGTCAGCTATAGAGTTTAGCTCTGAAATCATTCCCAAGTTTGTCTAGATTCATGGCCTTGGCTTGGACCCATTAGTGGTAACAACTGTGAGAGAAAGTGTAAGGGAGAAAGAAAAGATAAAACAATGGCACAAATTCCAGTAGCTCCTGGAAGAAATACATTTGACCTTTTTTATCTACTAACTTCTAATGCTGATGCTTAGCTCTGGTTTTTGCTTTTAAAATACTGTCCATGACAGAATAGAGTCCAAAGAGAAAATAGCCTCTGGAAAAAGTGTGAGACTCTGGGGAGACAGTTATTTACTGGCAGTTTCACAACCGCCCCTGCACTTCTAATGAAATTTCATTTGTCAAATTCAGTGCAACTTGGTGACAAGCCAAGCTTATTCTGTCTGCCTTTTAGCTTAGAAACATCTTTTTGGTCTCCTGCTCCCAAGCAGTGCCTTTATTTCATTTGAGATAAAAAGAGTTGCAGCTTGTAGCTAAAAAGCTGGCCTGAAGCTCTCATGGACACTATTTCTTATTTTAATATGAAAAATGAGTTAAAATTTTGAACTGCTGTTAACACCATGCATAATAAAGCGTGCTCCTCACCAACCTTCAAAGGGAAATATATACAGCTTTGGTAAAAATAAAACACAACCCACAACTGGTTATGATTTTCTATGGACTCACCACTGTCTGGGATGAGGCCACCTAACAGGAGTCTGAACTAAACATCCTTCCAGCATAGGATGAAATCCATAGCTTCTAAAGGCAGAATGGATCTTACTTCTTATTGATGTTTTTTAATATGTGAGGCCTGGCTTGTCTGCATGGCTTGTGTTACATTCCAGTGGTGGGTAAAACAGCTAAGCTATTTTGTCTTCTCCTGGTTAAAATAGTACTTTAAGCTGGTTGAAAGTTTTTGCATGTTAAGGACTTAGAGCAGAGCTGTCAACAGAAACAGTCACAGGTTTTGGTTGGATTTAGGGAGAAGGAGAATTAATTAAAAACAGCAACAAAAAAAGAACACAAACAAACTGATCACACTTCACCCGTTGTTCAGGAAAAAAGAAGAAGGAAAAAAGACAGTGATTTATTTTAGACAGCCTGAATAGCTGGAGACAGAGAGCTAAAATATGGCAAGGAAATTGCTACCCTAAACAAGTTCCTTTGAGCAATTTGTTGAGTTGGGTTTTTTTTCTGCCTGACTTATGAGCCCTTGGAATGCACATATCATTGAATTGCTTGGTAATTTGCACAAACATGTCTTCCTGAGGTCCTAAAGCCACTGTATATCCCTGAGTGGAAATACTAACATGATAGAGAGAGACAGAGTCTGACTGTTTGCCAGAGTCTGGCTACATAACCTTGTCAGTAGACATGAGACACTCTGGCTTCTCCCATAAAACACATCCATCCTGCAACTAAGACACATGTGCTGTCACGCACACAACAGTGAACATGAGGACATGTATATGAGAGCCCATTTGCCCTTCACTGAAGCTTGAAACTTCTAAACTACTCAAAATCTAATCTACCTAAAACTACCCAAAATCTCACAGGAGCATCACTGCTGTGGTATCAAATACCTCCTGGCTGCACATCAGGTGGTGTGACCATCTCTATAGTATGGGGCCCTTTCTTCCTGACAGAAGTGTTGTTTGTGCAATGAGATGTTTTCTTTTGCCAAAGAGGTTTGTTTGTGTTTACATCTAAAATATAAATATAGCCATAATTATAAACATAAACACACCCCAGTTTGATGGGATGAGATTTGTGGGGGTGGTTTTGGTGCCTGATTGCCATGTTCTGCATAAAGTCTGTGGTTTGCAGCCTGAGAACCTCAGCCTGAAGACACTGAACTGTGTTTTCTCTTTCATTTAGCTCGAAATTGCTTATTAGGATTTTTGTGCCTAATACATGTTCTTACATCTTATTAGGATTTTTGTGCCTAATACATGTTCTTACATCAGTCTTTTTCACAACAACCACATGCCACAAGAAGAGGCTACGAGGACTATACTGCTCTTTTATAAAGAGGGCCAATGGCTAAATCTTATTTCTCAGACACCAGAAGAGAGAGCTCAAATGTTTCCTTGTCTGATGTGAAACAAATTTGTGCTTGACCTTAGTTTCTCAAACTCCTAGGAGGCCAGTTCTGTTATCCAGGAGGGTCCTCCCACACTCTCACTTACATGGACTTACTCCACTCTGCTCCTTCACTTAAACTGGGATAGAATAACAAACATTCAGAGATATCCACCAAGTCCCAGCAGGGAGAAAGAAACCCAAACCTTAGGACCAGCCAGTTCTTTGTTTTCCCTAGGGAAGAGTGGGCAGACTCCCTTTGAACCCTTGCCCTAATACCCCGACAGAGGCCAGGGGGAAGACCCACTGTGAATAGCATTGCTCACAGCTTCCACCTTGGGGAGGTTCTGCCAGTGGCTTCTCATCTCCAGGTCTACCTCCTCCCACAGCAGCACGTTCTCAAATGGAGGGTCTGTTCGTACCTTTCGGTGGGCACCCTGATTTCCAGAAGTAGTGGATTAAGTTCAGTGACTCACACTGCTCAGCCTCCTGTATAACTGGAAATTAATCTTAGGAAACTAGGGCTGAAAGAGACCTCATGAGATCAGCTGCTATCATTTTCTGCCCAGAGGCAGGGTCTGAAATCTGTGAGCTGACACCAATACATGTTTATCTAACATGCTCTCGGAGGCATACAAGTAAGGAGAGCCCATAACCTCATTCAGATACCTGCTTCAGTACTTTATATTCAAAGAAT